GGCGGCGGGCGCCGGACAGCGGGACGGTCTCTGTCCGCACGTGCGCTGGCTGCTTTTAAGCAGGAGCCGAGGGGTCAGTGGCAGGTGTCTACTAAACAAGCAGTCCTGTGGCGCCTGATAGACCTGTGGGTCTCGACTAGTGTCCCTGGGGAGTGGGCCACTCAATTTGGACTGGGGGGTCCATGGTGACTTTTTCGGGGGTCCACAGGAACATGGTCCAAAGTCACTCGGCGTGGGCACCAAAAATCTGTTAGTAAGAACAGGAGTGGCCTGAGGCCGGCTGCGGCACCTCGCACCCCAGGCAGGCGGCACAATTGGCACTTCCGCCTGTAGGGCCGTCAATGCACATGACGGCATCAAGCCAGCGGCGCTTTAGGCAACTACCTAGTTCGCTTAGGCTCACGGGCTGCCCCGAGTAAGAAATACATTTCACACCAAAATGTTTGTTGTCTGCCCCTTTTTATCATGTCTCTAAAAGGGGGTGGTCCATGAAAGTTTTTTGATTGCCCTGGTGATCTGTGGACTGAAACAAATTGAGAACCACTGTTATAGACGAACAGATGTACTGGAGCACAAGCTCTGGTGGGCAAAGACCCGCTTTGTCAGATGCATGTCAACACGAAGTGGTTCTTTGCTCCCGAAAGATTATGCTCCAATAAATCTGTGAGTCTGTAACAGTGTTTCTTAAACTTTTTAAGACCAAGGACACCAAACAATAATTTTTTTTTAGGAGGAACACCAAGGATTTTTTTGTTGAGTGAGCAAAAAATAAAAGAAGGGGCAGAGGAGAAGTTATTGACCAAAAAAAAAAAGGGGGGGGAGCCGGGGGGGGATCTAGCAAAAAAAAAAAAAAAAGGTCTCCTGCCCCTTTGAGGGTGGCCATTTTGAACTCTGTTCTCCTTGGCACACCGGTGTGCCATGAAACACAGTTTAAGAAACACTGGTCTATAAGGTGCCACAGGACTTCTGTGTTTTATACAGCTTGAGACTAACACAGCTACCACTCTGATAGATGTCTACTACAAGATCCACATCTAGCAAAAAAAAAAAAAAAAGGTCTCCTGCCCCTTTGAGGGTGGCCATTTTGAACTCTGTTCTCCTTGGCACACCGGTGTGCCATGAAACACAGTTTAAGAAACACTGGTCTATAAGGTGCCACAGGACTTCTGTGTTTTATACAGCTTGAGACTAACACAGCTACCACTCTGATAGATGTCTACTACAAGATCCACAGCAATGCTACCAACAAGCAGCCATGCTGGAATTTCCACTATATGTGATGCAAGTGTATCAGCTAACAAGACACAGATAAGGTGAAGACTGTAGTATCCAAAATGGGGGGAGCATACAATAAACAAATGTTGATCCCTGCTCCCGCCACCCCCACATGGGGCAACACATCTTGAGATTCTACTATCTGACAGTACATGACGTGTCTTTAGAAATTGGTCAGACAAGGCAAACTCATCCTTCACAGTTTTATGACACTTAAAGAAGCATGTTGCAATAACTTGATAACGGTTTCACACATTAATGTTGCAGCTACGTTTCAACATGCTAATACCATATAAAAAATTAAGATGTCACATGGACTACAAACATATTTGTGTAATTCAGAGATGACCCTATTAAAGCTGGGATAATACCAGAAAATTTGGACCAAGTAGCAACTGTCACCATTATATCTCTTGTTCCAGGAATTTCCTCTAGGTTTTATTACAAGATAAATTTTCTATTTTAATTTCTGTTTTCAAAGCATGGAAATAAATTAATGTTCTCAAAAAAGTTGTCTCTGATTCCTGAGTGCTATAGTTATCATAAAGTAAGATAGCTAGGCATCACTGTGACAGCTCAATGAAAATTTTTTCATAATGCACAATGGCAGTTAAAAAGTAAATTAGATGTATGTAATTATCTCCAAATATAGCTGAAGAACAGGATAGAAAACAGTGTCAAAGATTAAGCATCAAATTAATTCTCACACACTGTAGCGAGCATGGATGCCAGCTCCCTCTGTGACACAGTTTGGATATATACTGTAATCCTCTGGTGCCTTAGAGTCGAACAGAGATCTACTGTATCATGAGCTTTCATGGGTAAAACCCACTTCTTCAGAATAGTGATAGAAATGTAGCCGTGTTAGTCTGGTGCTGCTGAAACAAAATACAGGACTATGTAGCACTTTAAAGACTAACAAGATGATTTATTAGGTGATGAGCTTTCATGGGCCAGACCCACTTCCTCAGATCAAATAGTGGAAGAAAATTGTCATAACCATATATACCAAAGGATACAATTTAAAAAAATGAACACATATGAAAAGGACAAATCAAATTTCAGAACAGAAGGGAGATG